TCTCCATTCATAATTTTTCCCACATCCTTTCTTTCTTCACCTGTCACTCTTTGCTTTTCATCCCACTTTTCTGCAACTTTCTGCATCAGTACAGGTCTCTCTTTCTATTCCTCCTCAACTCCGTTTATCTGTCTCTCTCTCGCTGCCCGTCTTCCTTTCATCTCTCGCCATCTGCCTTCCTCCATCTCCATTTTCCTCTCTCTCTTCCCTCTCTCTGACTCGTCTTGTCTCTCGCTCTCTCTGCATCCCTCACCCCTCCCTCTCGTCTCCCTAAAAACTTGGCAGTGATCCCTGTTGTGTTTTTTTTTTTTTTCACTTCTCGTTTGGGGGATTGCGAATGAATGCGATCCAATCTAGACCTCGGCTAAGAGACATGAATTTTCATTAATTACAACCTTGTCAGCAAAAGCATTATGGGAGCTGAATATGAAAATGCTAATGAGGGGAGCTCATTTGCATATTTTTCTTTGTTGGAATGTCATTAATTATTACGTTTTATGATGATGAATGCAGCTGTCGATGGCTGGCCCTCCATGCCTAATTAGCTATCAGAAAATCCTCCGATCAAAAAAATGGATAGGGATCCCAACTTTACTTTTCATTTTGCACCGCTTTCACTTTCTCTCACTGTGGTTTACTCACCCCTTTTCCTTTTTTCCAGCAATATAAATGTACGTACGTAATGTCTTTAACTTTATTTCAATTTCTTTTTCTCTTTGTCTCTGATTCTGTTTTTGTTTTTCATTTTTGGCCTTCACGTTTTACTGTTTCTCTTCTTTGTCTTAGTCTTTTTTATTCTCCCTATCATTTCTTTTTTCCCCAATCACTTCCTGACTTTTGATACAGGTTGTCTTTGATTGCCAGAGATATAAATATCAGAGGTCAGAGGTCATGTCACACAGTGCCGTCTTTGACCAACGTTTTTGATTGATGACCAATGGATTTCTCTCGCCATTGCCTACTGGTCTACTGTATAGTGATGACAGACATAACTCTAGTAGTCCTAAAGTGCAGTTAGTTGCTGTCCTTCAGTTGTTCAAACCTTGCAGTTCCATCCTTTCTCCATTTCCTTTACCTCTATTTGTTTCTAGGGCTACCTTTACTCCTGAAGTAATAGCTCTGTTAGATCTCTTTCTTTAGCCCTTTTAGCTCTTCAAAGTCGTCTTTTAACCTTACCTTTAGTACTGGCCTCTTGTGATCACGTCCTTTAGTTCTTGCTCCTTTGCGAGTGACCTTTAACACTCTTCTCACTAGCCTGGTCATCGTTTATTTAATACCTTGTGTTAGCTCGCTTTTGTGCCGCGCTTGGCTGTTCTCACCATGGCCGATTTTCCGCTTTCTGAATAGACCTTTTTCATAGCCATTTTTACATGAAATAGTAGAGTAAACACAGGTGTTACCAATGATACTAACAAAGGCTCCATTCCATTTAGTGTAGCAGAGCATTTCCAAGTCCATACTCTGCTTGACCTGAAGGAAGATAACTTTTTATTATCATTGGTGACATCTTTGTTTACCTACTATTTCATGTCATAAAAGTCTATTGATTACAGTTTCCTCTAACCGTAACATTAATTTGGCCACAGCACAGGCTAAAATACAATAAAAATTTTCATGACAACATAGATTGTTTCCAGGCTATTTGATCACTTTAATCAATTTCCAGGTGTTTCCATGACTAGAAAACTAGTCTCAATTTTTTTATGTTTTCCAGGACGTGTGGGAAACCTCTTTAGGTGTAGCTCCTTTAGCCAGGAAAACCTAATCCTTTAGTCCTGTAGCCTCTTTAGTGGATATCTTTGTGTCTAATCCAGCACCTTTTGTTGAAGCTACATTAGCTGTATTTTGTCCTACATTTTTTAGATCTAGTCTTGCTCAGGGTCAATCCCTGACCTTTACCCCTGTCTCTGTTATTTCTAGTTTCTTTAGGACTGGTCTTTTAGTTTTGGTCCTTAATTTCTAACTCAATTAGTCCTTGCCCCAGTAGCCTAGTCTTGGTTCCTTACGCCAAATACTTAATCCCCATCTAATGTAGCCCTAATTAGCCTACTTAGTCTCAGGTCCTTTACTGTTTATTTAGCCTAGCTGGAATGATTTGGTCCTAGCTCCCCTTTGCCCTTCCAATTTTACCCTAATTACTTAAGCTACACTAAGCTCTGGCTCATTTAGCCCAGATCATTTGCTTCTAGCGCTTTCAGTCATAGCACTCTTAGTATCTATTATCTGAAAACATTTGGTCCATCAGTCATAACTTCTGTTGTTCCCACCTATTCATCCCTCATTTTGTAGTTCTAACTTGCTAAGCTTAGTCATTAAGCTACTCAGAACTGCCATAATTCATTAGGCTACACCTTTTAAGTCTGTGTTTTACAAGAAGAATCAGCTTGACAAACAAATCGCACTGTGTTAGCTAGCTAGCTACTGGGGTTGTAATCAAATTCTTGTTTAACAACTAGCAATATAAAAGTTGCAGATACCATATGTGTTTATAATAACACAGTTGGCATTTATTTATCTATGTATCTACAGTATGTAGCTAACACCTGATGACAAAGTCAATTTGATGAACCTTTAGAGATGAACTACTTCTGGTCAGTCCTGTTGAGGCAGAAAAGTTCTAAATTTGAATAGAAAGATCACAGCTACAGTTGCCCACAAGCTGAGGACCTCCAATATGGTTGCCAGAAACTGTGCTACATCACCTTAAAGTTCTGCATTACTATTCTCACCTCTCTCTTTTTGTTGTTCCTACCATTTCTCTGTCTCTATTGTCTAAAAAGAGTAACAATGAAGACTTAACAAATCCCCCCTCCAAAAAAAAAAAAAGCCACTAACGAACACCCCCCTCACTTGGCTTAATGAATGCCAGGCTTAATTAGAGCACCATGATGTCAGAGGCATTAATTATCAGTTGGCTTCGTTTCAGAAAACACACACTGTCTCTCTTTCTGTCTTTCTCTCTTTCTGTCTGTCTCTCCCATGTTCTCTCTCTTGCATCTGTTTTTCTTTTTGTCACCTATTTTTATTTCGCTCCTTTCCATATTTAAACTGATTTCTGTCTCTAATGTGCAACTCAGAGCATTCGTGTAAAATCGTTTCTGATTTACGCCATTTTATGACGCGGTTCTAAATCTGATACATATCTGATTTGTGGCAATGTGACATCAGTTTGAAAAGTCATATTTGAATTCATGGGACTTTTACAAAGCTCTGCCATTTGGGGTCTGGCATTCATGATGATGTTGGCGTTACTAAGGAAAAATTAAGGGCAGTTGATGGAGTTTATCATACATACAAATGTGATCAAAAGGATGTTTATTGCAGCATTAATACATTTTCAAACAATGCGAGTTGTTATGGTGATTAAGTTTGCAATAAATTATCTGTTCACATTATTATAACTATGTCTGTCTGCTGTTTGGTGCTGGGCAGGCAGTATACAGTAGGTCTTACAGAGCTTGTTTCCTGCTTTGACTGGTCCGATGAGAGCCTGGAGACTGAACCAAAACAATGAATGTGCCACAAAACAATTAGCTAAAAGAGGCTAAAAAGACCTACAGAGCAAGTAATACTTGTTTATGGGTTCATCACTACGAATCAGCCCTTTGACATTACACATAGTATTTTAACACAATGTTATAAATATTTTGAGTAGTGCAGCTTTAAAACCTGTCTATACATGAGTATATGTATGCTGAAGAATACAACATTTTTTCTGCCATCCGGGCTTCATCAGTGTAACAGACTCATAAGGATACCTTGTTCAGTGCAACCTGTTTCATTTAACCCATTTTCCTGGAAGCCAGCATTTATGTTACTGTACACGGCTCAAACAGAGGGGGGATAGAGCTTTTGCAGTTGCTGCTCCACCTCTGTGGAACCAGCTCCCCCTGGATATTAGATCTGCCCCCTCCATTTCTGCCTTCAAATCCAGGCTAAAAACCCACTTTTGAGCTCCTGGACTTCCTTGTTCACTAACCCTGTATCCTGCTCATCCATGTATTTCTGTGTTGTGTGCCCAATATTGAAGGTTTCTTTATTCATGTTTTATAGAATTATTGATCTATTGGTCCAATATGTTTTTCTGTATTATTCGCCTTTTGTAGTTATTCCACTGTACAGCACTTTGGTCAGTTTATACTGTGTTTAAATGTGCTTTATAAATTTTACTTACTTACTAACTATGACAGGATGCACACAAATGGATCAGGGGTTGGGCTTCAGCTCAACCTGAGATAACCCTGAAATCTTTCCATTCACACTGTCAATTTGCAAATGAATGCAGTGGAAGGGGGAACTATACGCTCACTTTATACACAGTAGTACAAGATTCCTTGAGTACCTGATTAGATGGGAGGGATGGGAATCAAGAACTGGTTCCAAATTGTCTGATCCCTCGGAAATGTGTGACTCTGAATCAGTTCCTTTTATTGATGCCGGCATGTTTTTCTGACAGTTGCAAAACAATAGTGTAAAACTTGTCTATGCTGCTGGAAACTTTCAACAAGAAGGAAGAAATGGTCCAGAGCCTGGCTGCATTTCACAAAGAAAGATGTAATGTCTATAAAATAATAATTTCAACTAATGGAAATAACATATTTCTACACTACATGAGCTTAAACTTTGGGAAGGCCATGTATTTAACACTGCGTACAAGTTCTACTGCTTGCAACTGAGCAGCACGTCTGTTACTGAGGGTAAACATACATTTATAACATTAGCATTAGCATTGTTTTTCTTTGACTAAGAAAACCTAAATGAAAACAAATGCTGCGCAAATATTAGGGATGGAGTTCGAGAACCGGTTCCAAATTAAATAGCAGTTTAACAGCGATGCTTTGTCACATCAGAGTTACATGAAGGCCTTGTTTCTACACTGATCACACTCAGAGACAATACAACTGTTGCACTGGTGCTCAAAACCTGTGTAGGCCTACTTTTTTCCCCACACAGAAAATTGATCAAGAATCAATGGGGAATTGATAAAGAATTGGATCAATAAGCAGAATCAATAATGGCATTGGTATCAATAAAGTCTCCCTTGTGAAGGAAAAGACTTTAAGGACAGAACCATCTACATGACTCAACGTGTACCTTTCTGCTTCTCCCAGGCGTCCCATTTAGCTTTCCCAGTGAAGTCAAACATCCCTGGACGATCTTCAGACAGAGGAAAGACAGTCAGATGTCAGTGAACAGGTTTAAGGAAATCAAACAAGTTAGCAGAAACGTTCTGCACTGAAGGTGTAATGCATGTGAGGTGGGAAAAGGAGTCAGGTTGGCACGTCACTAGAGGAAGAGGCTCCCTAAGTGGGTGCCAGGCCGAAGGGTGCTGCAAGATTCTGAATAATGTTCAATTCAATTTGTCGCCAATTATAACAGAGTTATTCTCAGCACTTTTCAAATAGAGCAGGTCTAGACCAGAACTCTTTTGAAAGAAAGAAAGAAAGAGATGTACAGCAACAACAGTAGCAATGTTCACCACAAACAAAGGAGGAACCATGAACTAACTGTTTATATTTTAATGTTTGTATCAAAATGGAAGGAATAAGCATTTAGCCATATTTAAAACTTATTAAACAATCCAATCCAATGATGAACAGCATTCTGATGAAGAACTGTAATGCTGCAGAGATGCTCTGGCCTACAAATCTTGTTCTCCAGATTGAAGAAGTATGTTTGTTTGATACAGACCCCAACAAATCTCACATGCAAAAACAATCACTCCCACGCTAATTATGAATCATATCAAAAGATCTGTCAAAATAATCGCTATCTGATGTTTTCACCACATCATGCAGCCCTACTTTGCAGCAGACACTTTTTAAAGGTGCACACTATCAGAGCAAGTGAAGGTTTTTGTGTACAGAGGTCAGAGAAATATTCCCTATGGACTGAAACCATTGACAGCTGAGCAAAACTACTGAAATCACAGCTTGAACAAAATGACTATGAAAGGGTGCTTTGGTTTCCAAAACAGTCTAATAACCATTTCTCTAGACTCATGTCAATCTACAGCGACAGCATATATGACAGCCGTGACAGTGTTTGCGGCAGGAGTCTCACCTGTGTTGACATCGCCCACAGAGGCCTGCTTGAACAGGGAGTAGACCTGCAGCATCTCCTCATCTGCCGGCTTCGCCTTCAGCTGCTTCACCTCAGCTGCTGCTGTGTCAAATTTAGCCTGCAGAAGAGAGGACAGCTTCAGAACAATACTGATCACATTACTATATATATATATATATAT